TATAAAACCATCTCATGTAGCCATCTAATCTTTGACAAGCAGATAAAACATAGCTGGGTAAAAGAATCCCTTTTCAAAAATGGGCTGGGAAAACTGGATAGCCACCTTAGAAGGCTAAAGCAGGACCACACCTTTCACCTCTCACAAAATCACTCACGTGGATACAGACTTAAACTAGGTATGAAACTTTTAGAATTCTGGAGGAAAATGTTGGAAACTCTCCTAGACATCAGCCTAGGCAAAGAGTTTTATGAAGAAGTCCCCAAGGCATCAAAGCAGCAACAAAATTTAAAGTAAATGGCAGATCAAACTAAAAGTGTCTGCACAAGCCAAGAAAGAGTCATGTGTGTAACAGAAACCTACGAATGGGGAAATTTTTGCCATCCTATGCATCCGATGAGGGGCTGATAACTAGATATACTTAGAACTCACGAAAATCAGCAAGAAAAATCAAATACCCATAACGTGGGCAAAGGACTTGAACAGAACTTTCTAAAGAAGACAGAAGAATGGCCAACAAACATATGAAAAATGCTCAACATCTCTAATCATGAGGAAATGCAATCAAACCACAATGAGATATCACTTAACTCCAGTGAGAATGGCCTTTATCAAAATTCTCCGAATAACAAATGCTGGCCTTGATGCGGAGTGAGGAACACCCTACACTGCTGGTGGACTGGCAACTAGTCACCTCTATGGAAGCAATATGGAGATACCTTCAAGCGATCAGTGAACTACCATTTGATCAGCAATCCTATTGCTGGGCATCTACCCAAAAGATCCAATGACACTTCTACAAAAAGACCTGCACTCGAATGTTTATAAGCAGCACAATTCATAATTGCAAGGCTGTGGGAAACAGCCCAAGTGCCCATCAATCAAGAATCGATTAATAAATGTGGTATATGTATACCATGGAGTACTATTCAGCTCTAAGAACACGGTGATTAGCACATCTTATATTTTCCTGGTTAGAGCTGGAACCTATACTACTAAGTGAAGTATCCAAGAATGGAAAACAAGCACCATATTACTTACCAGCAAACTGGTATTAACTGAACGCACCTAAGTGGACACATAGGTACTACAGTAATAGGGTATTGGGTAGGAGGGGGGGGTATAAACATACATAATGATGAGGATGTTGCACCATTTCTGGGGGATGGTCATGCTGGAGACTCAGACTTGTGGGGAGAGGGGGGGAAAGGGCATTTATTGAAACCTTAAAATCTGTACCCCCATAATATGCTGAAATAAAAAAAAAAGAGCCTACCTATTCATCTCTAGGCCACCTTACATTTGAATTGGGAAGATTAAACCCAAAGAGACATACCTAAGGTTATCCAGCAATTTGATGGCAGAGCCAGGAAAGAACCTAGGTCCCCAAACTTTTAGTCTAGTGTTTCATCCTTTATACTAAGATGCCTCACCTAGAAAACCTATATTATGGCTCTAGGCCAGAAGCCCAGGCTCCTGGTGACCATTATTGATACCTCTCTCCTACACCCCAAAAGTCAGAAATGTTTGACCTCACCTTGAAAGTGACTATTCACTTGACAGCTAATTAACCAGGTGCCCAGCTCCTGGGGGACCATCTCAGCAGTCACAAAGGTGGCTGGAAAGATGTGAGCAACATCAGTGCGGTGTCCACGGGTGGTCAGTATCTGTCCATGGAAAAAAGCTGTATGGACATCCACTTCATTGCCCATGCCAAACAAATGCCAGGCCACACGCTTCTGTGCACACATGTTCAGCTCTGGTAAATTCCCAAAGACAAAGCCATTGATTGCTGCAAAAGAAAACCCAAAGAAAATATCAGAGTTAGGAAACTGCATCCCAAAGAGAGAAGCCTTACCATTAGACAATAATAACAGGTAACATTTAGATGGGGCTTTAAGGAACACAGTGTGCTGACCCATATGCATTATCTTATTTAAATCTCACAAATAGCCCTGAGAAATAGGCAGATGTCATTAGTGTCATTCAACAGAAAAAAAAAATGAGAAAACTAATACTCAGAGAGGTGAAATTACTCCTCTCCAAAGTCCACAGAACTATTAAGTAGTTAAAGCCACTATTCCAAACCAATAATCTGAAGAAACTCTCCAAGGAATGAGATTACTTTGTAGGCTATTCTTTCCTTTTAGACAGGTTTCTTCTGAAATTTCCACAGGACAATTGTCTAATTAGCTGATTAATTAATGTAGCTATTATAATCAATTGGTATAAAACTCAAGGAAAAAAAAAAAACTCAAGGGAAATTTGAGCTGTCCAAGCCATCGTTTACATCTTACCTCTGAATGTTCACCTCCCCTTGGGACAAAGTGGCTTTGAGCCCACCCCTGTCACCAAAGGTAAGTAAATCACTTCCTTAATGAAACAAAAACAAAATCAACTTGTTTCTATTCCCAAGATCAGTTCTCCACTAATGCCTCAGGTTCTCCACTCATGCCTTTAGTTTGTTTTTAATTTAATTAATATGGTCAATTCCATAATGGATATAAGCCCAGAGTAGGCCAGGGGATATAAACAAGGTAGCTGGAGATTAAGGTTATAATTTTAGCTGTGCCATTAATCTGCTACATTGTGTTAGGAGCCACAGTGTCCTTACAGGTAAAATAGGGAAAAACCATTTACTCCTCCTGGTCCTTATAAGTATTAAAAAGGACCAGGTATGTGAAAGCACCCACCAAATAGTAGGCCCAATGGAGGCCGTCCATCATTGTTCACTGTCACAATGTGGCCACCTCCTCCCAGCTCACCATGCATCCTGTTGCTCTCCTGAAAGGCCTCATCTTCTTTGTCCACTAAGGCAGGATCTGAGCAGTAAGTGGCAATATTTTCATCAAGATGCCAGCTAAGGTTCTCATCTACCACACTGAAGAGCAGAAAGAAATCATGGTCCACATCCTGCCGCCGAGGAGGGGAGTTCCCATTGAGGGCTCCTAGGGCAAGTAAGAAAGGTGTTCTTGAGAACCTCCCTTCCTTAGCAACAGTAAGCTGAAAGGGGTACTCATAAGAAAGGAATAGGAAGAAAGGGGGCCTTAGGGAATCCATCAGCAACAGAAAAGCAGAATTAGCCTTCTGGTGCTCATTTCTATTTCCAACCCCCTTAGATAAAACCATCAATTAAGTTAAATCTAGAACTTAAAGGTGGGACACAGAGGATCCAGAATAATTCCTTTCTACCACCACTGCCCATGTATTCAACCCAGGGCCTGAACCTGACCACATTCCTGCAACACCCTGGTGTTGCAGGCCACCTTGGTGGCCTGACCATTCCTTGAACATATCCTATTCCTAACTAAGTCCTCAATCCACCCCAAACTCTTATGGCCACACTTTCCATCTTATCCATACCTAAACTCATATCACAAACCTTACGTCAATGTGGCCTGACTCTCATCTGACTAATCTGAGATTTAAAGGTAAAATAATAAAAAAAAGAAAGAAGAAATATTGTTTTGTTTTTTGTCAGGTTGTTTTTAGGAAAAAAAGTAATGAAATAGAAAAAAAAATAGTGGAAAGGGAGTTTGGTAAGGTTTATTCCTGCTAATAAAGAAGAGTGCTGAATTAACACTACTCGGGCTGCTTCCCTACATATAGGTGGTTCAACCACATCACTGCTTCCCCAGATATCCCAAACTGCATCTCATAGCTCATTCCTGGTGCCCGTACCTCTTTTACAAGTGATAAGGGGTCCAATCAGGCCAGTTGCAATGTCTCGTGGAGCATCTACATGTGAATGGTAGATCCAGGTGAGGCATGCTGGGTCAGCATTGGTAGGTGCATGGCCTTCTGGAATGGTCCAGTTGTAGACATGGCTGCCCCCCGGGGGAACAGAGTCATCAGCTTTCAGCTGTCCAGAGGAGCCATCTGGGTATAGGGAGCCTAGAAAATGAAATTGCACATGCCTAGTCCTAGAATGAGTGAGAGGGAGCATGGCAGATATAGAAACCAAGAGAGGGTTGACATATGGGACATGTAGGCCCAGTCTTGTAAAACATAGTGTTCTAAGGCCCAGCAAAACATTCCTCACAACCTGAGAATACAAATTCAGGAAATATTTAGCCAAAAACAAACAAAACAAAACAAAACAAAAACCCAGTCCTCACATCAACCATAGGTGGAGATAGGTTGCAGTCACGGGGAAAGAGCTGTGGCCAGGGAAAGTGCTGCTTGGCCTGATCTGGTAGTGCAAAGCTAGTAGCATAGAAGCAAAGGAGAAGACAGAATTCCCTCCCTTCAAGCACTCACTTTGGAAAATAAAAAGCAGAAAATCAGAATTGCATTCTAAAGTCAACTTAGTGATTAGTTGGTCTACTTCCCCCATTGTAGGAAAGAAAAAACTGAGTAACTTGTCCAATGAAGGTCATATAGGGAGTTAGTGGCCAAGCTGGAATCTTCTTACTTCCCTCTCTATTCTCCTTACTCACTGTTGTCAGTATTATAGACCATTGGGCCAGAGACAATGGGAGTTATACATAAATAAGCTGACCTCACTCTTAGTAAAAAGTATGGAACTTTCTGAAGACTGTGACACTAGAATAAATAATCCCTTCCATTCACTGTACTCTCTTTTCTTTTCAAAGCATATTAAAATATCCTATGGAAATGTCATTCACGTAGCTCCTTGTGACAAAAGGCAGATTGTATCTTCACATTCCTGATAAGGAATCTGAGGCCCAGAGAGAGGTAATGACTTGCCCAAGAAGAAGTAATACCAGGACCCAGCCATGCTTACTCTAAGCAGAGTCTTTGTCACCTCAGATCAATAAGGAAGAAAAGACAATCCTTGCTCCCATCTCTTCTCTCAGATGCAGTAAAGGAAATATGATATTTGCTGGGAATGGGAGAAAGAAGGGGTAGAATGCTTTACCTTCAGAGTCTTTCTCATAGAAAACACCATGGGGGTGGATGGTATAGGGACGAGTGGCAAAATTCTTCAGGTGGATAAGGATGACATCCCCCACCTCAGCCTGCAACACTGGCCCCAGGAAGCCCAACCAGGCAGGCTTGGCCACTTCATCACTGTATGAGTCATCCCTGTATTCTTTATAGATGGTCTTCTTGTAGCTTCTCCCTATTCGGTTCTTGTCAGACTTTAGGAAGCTGGAAGCCACTCTGGGAAAGACAAAAAAGGAGAGTCACAATTTTGCTCCCATCTTCAAACCTCTGGAAATTTCTTTTCCAGAGGAGGTTGACCAAAAGTGTCCTTCTTTGTATAAGACAAAATAAGAATAAATGGGATTGTACTGATCAAAACATGAAATCTTTAGGTTTAACCATTAGAAAATGGGAAGCATATGAAATTGCTAATATTTGAACATTTTTAACCTACAAAAAATAAAGGCAATTTCACATGGTTCAATGTAATATATAGTAATGAGAAGACAACCAATTGTGGACTTACTCTTTTTACATGGTCAACTCCTCATTGATGTGGCCTGACTTAGCATCGCCCTGCTATATATGGGAGGCCTTAGAGCATAGTGGTTATGACCACAAGCTCTAGAGCCAGGCTACTTGGATTAAATGCTGACTCTGCCACTTCCAAATCTGTGGCATATTGAACAAGTTACTTAACTTCTCTGTGTACAATTTCCCCATCTGTAAAATGGAGATAATCATAGTTCCTAACTCAGACAGTTGTTATTGGTGACTAAAAGAATACATAAAGAGCTTAGGACAGAGCTTGGCAAATAGTAAAAGCTTAATAAATGTTGACTATTACTTCAAAATATTAGGTATAGGGGATAAATTCCCTCAAGGAAAATTTTAATACAAGTACTCTGTGACTCTAACACTAGATAGATTAAACCTAACTAGAGATTAAACCTACGTGTCATTGTCCAGAGGCTGGTTTGTGATGACATTCTTTCCCTTGGGAGCATAGTTCCATTGCACATCCCGGATGCCCAGGTAGTAAACTCGAGTGGTACCATCAGTCACTTGGGGCCACAAGGATTGCACGAATAGGAGAGCCCAGAGGAGGTGGCCTGGTTCCATAGCCCAATTTACTCCGGGAAACAGGCAAATGAAAGCTGATGATGTGGAAGAAAGAGAACAAAGGGGTTTTGAATGTGTCTGGAAAACTGACAAGGCAAGAGCCAGATAAGTAACTGAGAAAGCAAATCCCAATTAGTTCAGTTTCTTTAACTTACCTGATTTCTTTCAGTTCAACAAGTGTTAAATGATCTCTGTACATTGGACTTTGGAGGGCAAAGTTAAAAAGTCAGCTGTGCTGATTATTGTGTGTGACTTCCTCCAGAAGAGAAATCTGCATCCAGTTCCTCCAGCAGTGTAGAAGGAAGAATGTGCTGTGGCCCAAGAATCAGGAAATGGACACCAGAAGCCTGATTGGGCCACTGACATACTCAGTGCCTAAATCAAGTCACTAATTCTCCCTTTGCCTCTAGTTTTCCACAAGCAAAAAGGGAAGACTCACTTTTGCCACTTCCTGCCCTTTATAAATTGTATTTTCAAACAAATGAGAATTCAACAAAAGGCATTTACTAGAATATTCATAAACCCAAAATGCAAACAGCCAAAATGTCCATGAATACTGGAATGAATGAGTAAATTGTATTTTATTCATATATTGTAATTCTATATTACAATAATAATGAACAAGCTACAACTACACACAATATGGGTACCTCTCACAAATGTAATGTTGCAGAAAGAAACCAGACACAAAAGAGTACATACTGTATGATTTCATTCATGTAAAGTACAAAATCAGTCAAAGTAATCTATGCTCTCAGAAGTAAGGATAGTGTTTGCCCTTCAAGTAGGACTCAGTAACTGGGAAGAGAAGAGGAGGAAGACTTCTAGGTGATGTTCTGTTTCTTGATCTACATGCTGGTTATATAAGTGTATTCAGCTTGTGAAAATACATTGAGCTATAAATTTAGAATTTGTGCTTTTCTAAATGTGTGTTATACTTTGAAAGTTAAAAAATAAATGAGAATATTAGAGGGAAATATTTTGAACTTCTCAGGAGAAATGTTCTCTGATTACTAAAGCTATGCACAAACCCATTTCACAGGTGTAATCCTGAGTCAGAAACAGACCTTAGCCTCTCATTTCATTACATAAGCCAAGAGGTTAGACTTCATGGGGCTGGGATGAAATAGTCATGCCACACACAGCTACAGTCAAACTCAGAAACACAGATTATATCATGTAAGCACACATATGCATATGCCTGCATACACAGTCACCCACAGTCTTACCTAAAAGCAGAGATGTACACACTTTCATTTGCACATAAAACCACTCTATCACACCAAGCCTTAGTCACTTTCAGAATAATATTAATAAATTTATATATTTATTGTATGTGCCTGGTATACCCATTCTAAGTGTTTTACATAGTTTAAATCATTTAATCCTCACAACCACCCTATGAAGTAGATGCCATTTTTATCCTGATATTACAGTGCAGAAACTGCAGAACAGACATGTAAAGTAATTTACACAAGGCCATTTAGTTAACAATTGGTAGAGTTGGGATTTGAGCCTAGGAAGTATGACTCCAGCATCTCTGATCTCAATCACTGTGCTATACAACCTTCTAAAAAAACATATTTGCCTACTCACATGTATATACACAGAGAACATACATATGCCCACAGCTATGGCCATATATAGGAAAAAACACATACACTCTGAAACATGAAATTACATACAGCTACGATCACTTTAAAAGCAGACATACATGCTCAGATAGGCAGAGATATACCGAATGGATTACATTCATCATGATGATGATAATGATGATAGCTACCATTCATTGACAGATTACTACATACTAAACACTATGTTCAGTGCTTTATATAAATTATTTCACTAAATCTTCAACCCAAACACATGAAATAGGCACTATTAATCAAAAATAGAGAATCAAAGCTATGTACACATTCACATATAGACAGGAAATCCTCAGATATTTATACCAACTAGGCTCAGATATTTACCCTAATTAAGAAACAGACCTATAAACTTCCTTACAAACTCTCAGGCCCTTCCAAACACAGAGGTGACTCAAATGTTAATCCCCAGTTTCCATATTACATTTGGCAGAAAGCCCTTGGTGTAAGGAAGGACTCATTTCTGTGTTCTTGTTGCCAAAACCTGGCTCTCCCACTGACCACTGTATAGCCCTGGGTATTACTTAACCACTCTGAACTGAACCACTCTGAACTTGTTTTCTTAAGTGGGTATGTTAATATTAGCCTTGGAGAAATAATTAAGAAAGTTTACATTAAAGAGTCCCAGTATAATCAGTGTTTGCAACATAGCAAACAGTAACTTCTAGTTTCCTTTCTCTTCCTTCTCCCTCCTAGCTACAGTTTATTAACTTATTTTTATAGTCTCCCACATACCATACTTTCTATATTTCTAGTCGAAGGGCAAACTTAAATCCCAACTGCTCTAAAAGGCCACCTTTAGCCTCTCCATATCACTGTCCTGTGAAGAACTACTTATTCTCTATAGCACCCAATTAGATTAAGTCAGACTTTGTATTATTGCTATCTTGCTGTCTGATGCGCTGCCTTGTGAACTGTATTTATTTCCCGAATTAGACTATAGACTCTTTGAGAGGATATCATGTCTTAGGGGTCTCTGTGTATCTAGTACCAGATGTGGTGATAAGGGTCTGGTAGGTGGGCCATAACAGATACTGTTAAAGTGACATAAAGAGGCACAAGCATACATTTTCCCACCAGTTGACTCTAGTTCAACTTCTGCCACTCATTTAGAGTGACATTAGGAAAGTTTATTCACATTAGTGAGCCTTAATTTCCTCATCTATAAACTCATGGACTATATAGAGCTGGAATATATAGTTCTTGCCATTTGGGTTCACAGAAATTTGATAATGTAATGAAATGCACAAGTGCAGAACTACAAAATGTGGTATATAAAGAGCTCTCAAAGAGCCCTTCCTGTTCTCACATGCTGCCAATATGCATATTCACTGATGAATCACACGTACAATCATATGCACCTACATACAATGGTCACACAAGCTTCCTTCTCAGAGAGGTGTCAGCAAGGCAGTTGTACCTTGAACTCATCTACCTAGATGGAAAATTGTCCCAGGTAAGAGTTCCACAATTAGAGAAGTACATGGTAAACTTGGAAATGTTCCTGGGAGAGATTAGAACAGGCCTTCGGAATGGCCCCAGGGACCTTAGACTATAAAATATGGGAGGCAAGAGAAGCTATGTAGCATTCTCCTAGCAGAAAAGCCACTATCAGTGTCTTTTTCCTATCTGCCCTCTTATTGAATTCTCAAGATCTTGAGAGATAAGGATTGTTCTTTCCCATTTTGCATCCAGGGCATGGGCTTTGGAATTAGGCTACCTAAATGAATCCTGGCTCCACTTTTCCTAGCTGTGTAACTTGGAAAACTTTTTCATTTCTCTAGCCATGGTATCTTTATCTTTAAAATGGAACTAATACTATTAGCTACCTTATGGAGTTGTGAGGATTAAATAAATTCAGACCTATAAGTGCATAAAACACAAATGAGTGCTTAAGTGCACAAGTGATCAAAAAGTATTAGTGACTATAATTATTACAGATGAGAAAACGGTTTAGAAATGAAACGTCTCAGGGTCACAAACATTTTCCATTTTATGTGTAGCCACAAACATACATAACACTCATAAGTTTCCATATACAGTGACACAGACTATGTATACAGACATATGTACATGGGTATGAGAATGCATATATCCCCGGCTGAGATTATTCTCTCATTGGAAGCAACATGGTATAATGTAAAGAACCAGAACTTTTGAGTCAGATAAATTTAGGTTTGAGTGCCATTTTAAGCTGTGCTTAAATACAATAAATTTACATAGCATCTGGGGACTTAGTAGCACCTGATAAATATTAGTTTTCCTGCCTTCTAATTACTGACCTCCTTTCTTTCCTCTTCAAAGCTGACTTTGTCGTTGTTATTGCTGTTGTTGCTGAATTTGGTTATAGCATACACCATAAGAGCAGAAGAAAAGGAGCAGAAGAAAAGGAGAATCCGTGAAATTTCTTTATAACCACTTGTATATTTCATGGTGAAGTAGAAAGAGTTCAGGCACTGGAAAAAAAATAGATTCTAGCTCTGGGTTCATCATTTATTGGCTATATGACCTTAAGTCACTTAAATTCATGTACCTCAGTTTCCTCATCTCTTAAATGGGGACTATCTCTGGGCCCCTCATGAGTTTATTATGATCAAATGAGATAAAAGACATCAAAGCCCTGTGTAAATGTTTCACTTGGGCAAGGATATGTTTTCCTCAGCTGAGCCCACAGAGAAGAGCAAGACTGATGAGAGAAGAGAAAAGGAAATGTAAAGGAGGATTGAAATAGGTAAGGTGAGCAAGAATCCTGGGGAAAAGTTAAAAAGAAATTTTTTTAAAGTAAAAAGGAAGGCAGAAGGAAGAGACATTCAAAAGAAGGGAAAAAAAGAAAGAATTTCTGGACTACTTGGAATTAGACATTTAGTTAACATTAGTTAACATTTAGTTAATGTACACTGAGACCTTGCTACAACCTGGAGAAAAGGTTGGCCAGCATTAAGTCAAGCCTCCCCTGCCTTTACCTTACTTTCCTGTCATCCCAGTGTCACCTGGGCCTGGTTCCCATCATCGATGACAATTTGCATCATTGTTTCCGCTAGAATTTGCAAGAAGTACATTCAACGTGATAATGCTATTTTCTCTCCCTCCATCTTCCTTCTGAGTTAGGCTACATTGGACTGGACAGGCTCATACTAGACAAAGTATTACTCAATGCAATAAAGGAATACTGAGCTATCCTTTGGGCCCTGTCTCCAATCTCTCAGCAGCTTTCCTAATAGAACCCTCCATCAAGATTCACATTTTGGTCCTTTGCTTTATTAACTCTGTTATACAAAACAGACTGGTGTGAAGTTAAAGACCTTGATTCAAATACTATCTCTTGCCTGTAATAGCTGTATGGCCTTTCAATAAATCATTTCACCTGAGGCTCAGTTTTCTCATCCAAAAAAATGGGGATATTTATTTCACAGTTCATTTTGAGGCTAAAACAAAATAATGGATATTTGAGCCCCTAGCAAAGGGCTTTCTTGGCATACAATAGATGATCAGTAATGAAAAAACGATGCATTATAGATTCACATATCCACAAAACCTTTAGAAACCATCTTTTCCACCACCCTATGTGATATACAGAAAACTGGGACCAAAGAGGTGCAGGGGTTTGCACAAAGTCAGGCAGCCGTTTACTGGCAACACCGGAATTTGAACCCATGTTTCCTAAAGGATTCCTGGTATTTAACTACAGAGTGAAAAAAATTACTCAGATGTTTAGCTTGGTTCAGCTAGCATTTATTGGCTCTATACTAATTTAGTCTCAAAATACGAAACCAAACATGGCTGTTTGTAAGTGTTTGAGCCTCCCATTTATGAAGTTCTCAGATCCATTACCTCAATAAACTCCTCAACCGGTGAAACAGAAGATAAGCAAGCTGTTTCAACAGGAAAATGAGCTATTCTCCATGACTACAGGATTGGCCCTGAAATAGTCAAGCCACTGTGGTCCTGGCCATTTGGGGGAGAGAAACAAAAGGAAGCTATTGTTTCCTTTAACTTTCCTGCACCCCAGACAAACTTGCTTTAGCTTCTCGGCCACTGTCTTTCTCTCCCAGTGTCCAGGACTCCCCTAAACCCAGCTGAATAAAGTTTTTTTTGTTTTTTTTTTTTTTACACAGGAAGGCATGTGAGGTAGGGTTTGAAAAAAGAGGAAAGAAAGCTTACCTTTGCTAGAGAAAACCCTTCTATATTCATGTCAGAGGACCATTGATGCTGAACTGCAGACCCCAGCCTGAGCCTTCCAGCTGTGCTCAGTCAGTATCCTGGATTACAGGGTCTTCCTCATAAATTAAATCCGGGACTCAAATTTGGTGGGGGTTAATGTGGGTGAGTAGGGGGAGGGTAAGTGCCCTCTTTTCCAGAAACTAAACTACTGGAATGTCCTGTTCCTTCCAGGACCTGGTTTAGTACAAAACCCGGGACGGTTCTTTGAGCATATCCGGGTGTTTTCTAAATCCTGGTTAGGATCTCAGGAGGAATTACAACGGGGTGGGTTTCACTTCTATTATCGCAGCTTGCTAGTTGGCCTGTGCTGAGATCCGGAGGAGAATACATTGTTAATGTGGCCAACCAAAGCTCACAGGCAGATTCCAACAGCCCCATTTAAGAAATGGGGCCCTTTGCAAGAATTACTAGAAGTAGGAAGAACCTTCATCCCCACCAACTCTTTCCCTTCTTTCTCTGAAGTACAATTATCAGCCCTGCCTGATTTTCGTGGGTGATGGCTGCTTGGTGATAGATAAAAAATAAAACTGGCAATAAAGCAAACAGCTTTTTTTCTACATGCTAGCCAGGCCCCATGTTAGCCACTCATTTTAAGTCTCACAACTATCCTCTGAAATGGATACTCTAATTCTCTATATTTTATAACTAAGGAAAAAAGTGCTCTGAGAGGGGTGGTAACTTGTTTAAGGTCACACAGGAAGTAAAAGAGGGGAGAATTGTGCTGGGTCTGTCTAGACTTTTAGCCACAAAACTACCACACTGTTCTGCTTAGGAGAGAAACCGAGAGAGCCCTTTTGAGGTATGGGGAAGGGACTTCACAATTATTGAGTTCCTACTGTCCACCAGTCAGTGCTAGATTTTTTAAATATACATTAACTCTGCCTGTGTAACTTCTAGCAGATTCTGGAGTAAAACCCTGAGCCTGTATTAACATTTTCCATCTGAAGGAAAAGGATGCAGCTAGAAGATGGTCTGTATTAACACAGGTCAATAGCCTAAAATCTAAAAAGACACAGAAGAATAGGAAATTTAAAAAAAAAAAAAAAGCAAAATGGGCCCTAAAAATACAGGGAGAAATTGGCATCTGCTTTTTTTTTTTTTTTTTTTTTTTTAAGCCAGAGGTCATCCCTATGCCTGCTGTAAAGAGAGGGTAGTGAAAAATCACTGACCTAAGTCAAATGACCTAGGTTCCAGCTCCAATTGTTCTGGCAGTAATTGGCTGTGTGGCTTTAGCTCAGGCCCTTCCCTTCTCTGGGCCTCTCTAAATTTGTAAATGAGGACCTTGAACTAGATGTGGGACCTCTCAGCTCTGTAAATTTACATATCTAGAGTCCATGAAAAAAGTACGTTCTACAAATCACAGGTAGATGAGAAAGAGGTTTTAAAGACACAAAGTATAAGGAAAGAACAGTTGGAGAGTAATTAATGATGATAAGGCTGAGAAAAATATGTCTCTTTGAAAAGGACTATATTTACCCACCAGACCCAGGTATAGGAAGAGAACAGGTATGATGGCAGTTCTACCACCTGGTATCCTTACTTTGTGATGAGGAGATCTTGGCTAGGAGCGGATGCTGTTCTCCAGGCAGGCTCGACACATTTTTCTCTCCTTGATTTAAAGCATCTGGAGCAGAGTCCAGGGAAGATAACTTTAGTCTAGGTCATAAACGATGAGAGGTTCTTTAGGGTGCTCAGACACTTAGGAGCTGCCCCACGGACTACAGCCCAGGCCAAGCCAAGGAGAAGCACCAGTAAGGAGAAAGGAGGAGCCACCAGCTTTGGCTCCCTCAGAAATGTTCAGTGGTCAAAGAAAGCTAGATCAGACCACGGCAATTCCTGGCAATATCTGCCTGGCACAGATGGGAACCTTGAAACTAGAGGAGTAAGGTGGGGACCAAACCCATTAAGCTGGGATCCAAGTCCAGGCTCTAAGTCATTTATGACAGGGAGGGGAAGAGAGATAAGGCCTCTGCTCTGACTCATAAAGACAAGAAACAGGTCATTATAGACTCACGTGAGTCAACATAGTGAAGACTGCAGGAGGCCAGCTAGGCCATGTTTCCAGGCTTGTATTATTTATTCACCAATTTCACTAAGAGGATACACATTAACCACCTCTTCATCAAATGTTGGGCACATTTCTGGTGCCTTCTCTCAGGGGTCACTTGGAAAACATTTTAAAGTTGATGCCTGTAGACCAGGGTTGGCAAATTATTTTCTGTGAAGGGCAAGATAGTAAATATTTTATTTGCCAAATATCCAGTTTCTGTCTGTCATAACTACTCAAATCTACAATTATAACTTACAAGGTCTGTCTATATACTCCAGTAAAAATTAATTTACAAAAAAATAAAAAGCAGGTTAGATTATAGACATTTTTTTGTAATAAAGACATTTGAAATACAGTATCATTATTAAGAGTGTGAAAACTGGAATCAGACATCATGGAATGAAATCCTAACTCTGCCATTCCTGATTCTGTGACTACAGTAATTTTATCCTTCTAAACCTCAGCTTTCACCTCTGTAAAATGGGGATAATAAAACTACCTATTTTATAAGGCTGTTATGAAGACTTAAGGTTATACACAATAACTATTTAGCACAGTCACTGGAACATGGTAAAGTTAACAAGAGAGTCATTTTTTAAATTTTAATGAAAAAATATAAACTATTGTTTTCTCATTCTTACAAGTTATATTAATTCATAGCAAAAAAGAAGAATGTTTCAAGAGTTCTAGCTTTACATTCTAGTAATGCTACTAAAGAGCACCTAGTAATCCTGAATGAGTCTTTTTGCCTTTCTGGGACTCAGTTTCTTCACCTGTAACTTGAAAAATATTGTCTAGGTTTTCCTTTTTCAAAAATTAATTTTGACAGCAGAACCCTTTCCCCGGACAGTATCTTAGTAAACACCTACTATCTATGGAAGACGGAAGTAGAGCTATTCTAGATAAGGCTGGGAAGGAAACAGGAAATAGGCAAGGCTGAAGGGACCCAGAGAACTGTGAACTGGACATGCCTACCCTCACAGACAATGTGGTTAGTGCTGGAGCACCAGCAACCTCTAGGACACTAAAAACAAGTTGAGAAGCACAAAACAAGAAGGTCCTTAATGGGGCCCTTAAAGGTCTTTAAAGGTCCTTAAATTCTGTCACTAACCCATTCTTTCATTCATTCATTTAGTCAATCAGTACTTCCAGGTTATCAGTGTATTCATCATCACAAGAGCATGACCCTGTGGTGGCTAAAAGGATGAGAGAATCCCAGCGACCCTCATATTTAGGGCAACATAGTCTAGTACGAGAAACATGGCATTTGAGTCAGAAAGAACATTTGAGTCAGAAAGAGTTTGCATCCTGGCTGGCTCCTTCTGCTCTAAGGCACTGTTGCTCTGAAGCTCACCCTACCAGCTCACTTGCATCTGCAGATTGATCCTTGAGCTTCCAACTTCCCTAGTCTTGAGGCATCAACTCTCAGGCCCTAGCTCAAAAATATATTTTCGAGGAGGATAAAGATGGCGGACGAGAAACACCGCCAGAAAGAGTGTCTCTGCAAAAAAGACAGATTCTAGCAGAAATAAGAAAAAAGAAGCAAGAAAGCGAGCATACAGAAGACGAGGGCCGGAAGGAGGGGTACCTGAGACCCCGGAGACTCCACAGGAGGAGGCTACGGAGGAAAACTGGAAGCTGAGACAGCCAGAGCAGCTCGGAGACCAGCAGGAAGGGTAGGTAGATAAATCACCTTTCCGCTCCCCTGCATTTGGGACTGCTGGTGGGCTCCCCAGCGGGTGGAGAAACCTGCAGACACCACCCCAGAGACGTCCTCCGCCAGCTAGCGGTGAGCCTGTAGCGGACGCGGCACTAGACTCCCAACTCCCTCCCGGCACCTCCGTGTGCACAGAACCGAGCCACGCAGCAGGCGCCATATTGCCTCCTCCTCCCCTCCGCCGACCCTACCCGCGGCTGCCCAGAGAGACAATACAACCACCAGCCAGAGGCACCTCCAGGGAATGGGACCTTCCCTTTTGGGACCCTACAGCTGACTAAGGGGAACTCAGACTGTGAGCTGCCTACCCGCCAGCTCTCCCAGGTGCTGCTGGCACGGTGTTCCCAGGAGAACGGTGCCAACTTAGAGGCTGAGAGACACAGACACATCTTGGGCTCCCTGTGGGTGAATTGGGACCGGAACTCCTCTCCCTGGTGGGGATACAGTTTGAACTCTGGACCGAGTTCGAAGGAGACACGATCCCGTGCAGCCAGGTCTAGCATTTCCTCGGGCCACTTAGAAGGTGATAATTAGATGAACAGTCTGCTGAGGTGTGTGGTCCCTCCAGGGGGCAGATCAGGCGTCCTATGAGGGCAACCCTCCACCAACAGTGTGGGCCATGTGGCCCATCCCAGGGCGTTCCTGCGCAGGGAACTCCCCCACGGCATCACGTCAGGGAGGCCTGTGGGTCTGTGGTCTGGCTGGGCAGAGGCCAGGAAGTATGCTGCGGAGTTGGGGAGGGTGGAAAGAAGCGAGGCCTGCTCCAGACTGCAGGTCTATGACAGCCCACCCCCACAAGCAGCTTTCTGGCCGTGAACGGGCCATTTGCCCGCGCTGACCGCTCACGCTTTTCTCTGGAAGCGAAAAGTACTTTAACCCCTTATGGCCATGGTGGCTGAGGGCAGGCTACCCAACCAGGTCTGCGCCAGAACAAGAGCTGATAACAGACACAAAAAACACAGCATAGCCTGTTCCTCCAAGCAAGGCCACCTACTGACAGGGACGGCAACTGCCACAGCCTGTTCACGGCATCCACTGACTCAAGTTATACAGAGCGAGTGGTCGAATCTCACCCACAGACACCACTAACGGCTCGAGAAATAGAACAGAAAGGCGTGTGATACCAAACAAAACTCGGAAGAAACAACAAACTGAATCAACATGGGAAGAAATCAGGCGAAAAGATCAGAAATTGAAGAACAAGGAAAAAACACACCCCAAGAGGAGCAACCAGCCTAGAACGCACCAGAATCAGGCAAACAGCATGACAGAAGAGGAAATTATATGTGATGATACAGAAGCAACTCCAACGAACTGTTCAACAAATCTCACATAACCAACCTAAGAAACATCAAAAGCTCCAGGACCCTAGAACAATAAGTTCACTAAAAATACACCCAGGCTGGGCGTGTAGGCTCACGCCTGTAATCCTAGCTCTTGGCGAAAGTCGGACGGCGGTGGAATTGCTCAGTCAGGGTTCAAACCCAGCTGACAAAGAGAAGACCCGTCTCTACCTATAATAGAAAGAAGTAAATTGGCCAATGTAAATATATAAAATTAGCCAGGCATGTGGCGCAGCCGTAGATCCAGCTACTCGGGGAGAGCCGAGGCAGAAGGATCACTCAAACGCCCAGGAGTTTGAGTTGCTGTGAGCTAGGGCTGATGGCACGGCACTCACTCTAGCTGGGACAACAAGCGAGACTCTGTCAAAAAAAAAAAAAAAAAGAATAACCCAATGAAGAAAAGTTTACTGCTCATTGGAAAATAAATCAATTAGGAACAAAACAGTGGAAAGTTCAAGAACAGGGTA